TCACGGCCAGAAAATTGCGTAGCATTGCGTTGAAAATTCTGGAAGTTGTCAGATTCCACGTTGCCACGATGTTTAACTGTAGTGAGGACAAAAAATTTTGTTTTGTGGGAGAAAAAGAAAAATGTCGTTATCGATGACATAATCAATGCTTTAATCCTCCCACAGACCATAAGCAAAATGCTTGCTCAATTCTTATCATCATCTAATGAACAAATTGATTCCATGTTGTCATCACTTTGACGGGCATTTGATTCGCGGGCCAAAATATAGATTTTGACGGGCCAGGTATAGTTATATAATTTAATACAGCCCATAGAAGGCATCGCGTAAGAGATAAATGGAAACATGGAATGAGAAGGTGAAAAAAGCGACTAAGTATCACTTTTTCACAATTGCAAGGTGCTCCATATTTTCTATCGTAGCAGATACTTTTCATGGATCTGAACTCCCATCTTTTCTCGAGGCCATGGGGTTGTGCTTAAACGATTGAGCAGTCCAGTAGTCTTTAACACGCCTCCCTGCTTATGTTTAATAGCAATCTATTTATATGACCAGTGTCTCCTTGGGTGGTGATTTTTTGCGTGACAGTCAAGCCAATTTGGGAAATGTCATGTTTTGAGAGTCTGGGTGGTGTATGCATCTTATTAATTATGGCGCATCAATTTGGGAGGACTTAGGCGGGAATGACGGCTCGATTCTGTTTCTTATAATAACCGATTATGGTATCATTGGCTTTTAGAGCAATCACAAGTATATTCTAATTAGCAAATAGAATCCATGTTGCCGTGCCTCTGTTCTGTTGTAAGAACAAAAAAGTGGTATACGAGGGGCAGCCGATTGTGTCACTCTATCACGGAGTACTCTGAGTAGATCCAAGGACTGACAAGTAGTAGGCTAGTTTCTTGGCAAAGAAAGGAAAAACAGAACAAACAAACAAACAAGAAAATCAGTTGGTTAATAAACTGAGGCTTTCATAAAACAAAACATACCACGATCTTCAACAGTCATTCACGCCGGGTTCAGCCTTTGATTAGCTCAAGAAGCTATCTCCTTTCTTAGAGCTTGAGAGACGAGTGCAGCTTTCCAAATAAGGTCTTCGTAAAATGTGATTTAAATTCAGTGTAACTGAAAATATTTACGTTGTGTCGTTACTAATCAAAAATATCTTTGTGCGAAAAAAGCTTGTCTTACGATAGGTATGTCGTTGTTTAAGCTAATAGTCGTTCGCACGAAGGAAACGATTATTGTGTAATGACGCAGTTGTCTGACTCACTGGGGCGTGAGATGATAAGGTCTTGTTGGTTCATAAAGGGAACCGGGAGAGAAAATGTAGGTGAGGCTGCAGTTTATCAAACACGACAAAAGGCAACGAGTTGCATTAACCTTTTCAAATAAAAATAACAACAAAATTAAAAAAACAATATATTAAAAAAAAACAAAACCAAATTTGAGAAGGAAGGAAGCCAAATGGGAAGTCATTGGGCAAACCCAAATTTCCTGCTTTCTTCATTTTAAGAAACGTAGGGAGGGAGAGATGGCTAATTATTTTCCATCAAAAATACAATAAAATACAATACAATATTCTTTATTTAACGAAGGTGACGTAATTAACCCAATGAGTTATCTAATTTACGGCCTTCAACCTGAGTCACATTTGAAAGCATGTAATTTGCATGGATTTTTTTCTTTTTTCACATTTTTCTTTAATAGCGTTATTGTAAAACTGGTTGTATATTATTACCCTTTTTCAGATGAGTGCCATTGACGGAGTCAATTTTGTGTGACGTAAGTTGACCATGAAACTGATCACTGTCCACCCTCTTCCGGGCGTGAAAAAAAAAAACAACTGATGAGGCATGGCATGGTCAAGGAAACCGCAAATTTGCAGGATGTATCCGTTTATATGAGCATAAGTGCTCTGCTTATTTATCGTTTTTCTCAGTTAATTGTGGAAAATAATGTAGATTAATGATCAGGTTGTGGTATTTTGTCTGTAATTTTAGCTACTGAATATACCGTTAGCCGTGTCGATGGAATCACGCAGCGTTCCAACGGATTTAAAACGAAAATTGGGAGCCCAACTGCGGCTATATGAGCAAAAAAAAAGGTTATTAAAACGTATTCAGTTGATAAAATTGTAGAATGCGATCGATTTTAATTAATTTTTGCCACTGGAGGTGTCTTTAGCTGTGTTGAAGGGAATCACGCTGAGCTCTGATGGAGTCGAAACGAAAACCTGGAGCCAAAGGGAAACTAAACTGAGCCAAAAAAGTATCGAAACGCATTGAAGAAACAAAATTGTAGAATGCCATGGTTTTTTTCCTTTATATTGTTTCTTTTGCCTTTTAAAAGACGGGCATATCAGTCGTAATCCTTACCTATGGCGCTATGGGTTTAATTCACAGCGCCTTCCTTTGCGGCGTCGCTGAAGCGTTTCGTAATCACAGTAACGTTGTGTCGTGACTAGGAGGGTTAACTGATAGAGCCGAGTAAAATTGAAATGCTTTCAATCACGCGAGAGTACGCTTTTCAACTTAGGCATCGACTCGCAGTGCTCTTTTCAGCCAAATCGAAGGGGAATCGAAGAAAGACAGGTTTTGGCGGCAAGAACTGAAACGATTTTGCAAAACAAAGGCACTTGGAACACAAAATAGAAAATGACGTCAAGGTCTTAAAAAAGCAGGGCCTTAAGGCCTTTCCGCACCAGCGAAAAAGTTGTTTATTCAGACAGATCTCCTGTCATAACAAACATTTTACATGTGGAAATGTGGCCGTGGCGGACAGATCTTAAAACGTACCCCTGACAAAATTTGTCCCGGGTAGGAACTGGACAAAAACCGTTCAAATAAACAAAACCGTGATAAACTATTAGATCATTTGAAGTAAAAGCTTCAGCGACCAGCGTGTAATTGAACTGAAATCAGTTTACTAGAGAGGCAAAAATTGTCTTTTGTAATTATAAAATTTTAAGACGACCTAGGATAAATCCTGGAAATTGGAGGTGGAATCACAAGCGGTAAAACTATGCTAGTCGGTTTTATGAACAAATCAGGCGCGGACGGAATCTGACGGCTTTGAAATTTTTAATGCGAACGCAACAGATGAAACAAAAATTTGTCCTTTGATTTTGTCGGGACAATTCCAGTTTTGTCTGCTAGTGCGGAAAGGCCGTCATTCCATAAACTCTCTTTCTCTGCTGAATTTCCATGAGCCCATGCTGATAAGCAAAGCGATATAATATACAATTCTCGAACCCCTTATTATGAGTAAAATAACCTTGCATGTCCTCACCAAGCCCCATTTCATTCCGTCATTAAACGTAAATGAGTTTTGCATCTTAAAAGTCATTCTATTTACGGACTGGAAAGGCGTGCCAAATGTAATCATCAATCCTCACTGAGTTGTGACGACAGTGGCACTCTTGTAAACACAACGCGAAACCTGTAGATTTTTTTTTCATACAGGTTTTCCTCCTAGTAGAAGATTTATCGTCTCAAGAATTAGCAAAGTTTCCTGGTTTATGCACGTAGTATATGTTTTATGACGCGTTTGCGTTAAATAACCTTAAATGTAAAGTTGCGATTGTAGGGAAGGACGTTTTCCCCCACGTCACTGAGTGGGTTGTGACGGCATTTAGGTCATCATGCGACATGCGTGCGTTACATTCCTTAATGAAAGTTTTACTCAGTGATTTTTATTCCCAAAATAGCCCACGCTGAAGAAATATGGATGTATTTAAACTCTTTGGGTTCCTGACTCTCCATAAGAGCATCAAAGCTCTGAGGTACTGCATACCATCTCCTGTAACTCGATTCAAATGGATTTCCGTCACAAAAAGGAACATCTTTCCTTCTCCATCGAGAATATTCTACGAGACGACTTCTCCCGCGGGGTGAGGAATAACAGAGTGAAACTAATGCCACCTAGGTCAACTTTTACGAAGCGTTTGGACAGTGCATCTTTCCAATTGCATGGAGTTCATTATTACAGACCAATGATTGTTAGATATTTGCCCGTTATTTATAAATTGGATGCACGATGTTTACGCTTTAACGAGGGAAATGAACAGAATATAGTGACTCAGAATCCCGCCAATGACAAAGATATTTCGGGTTTCGAGGACGATTCTTCACTTCAACATAAAGAAGGTAATAATTATCTCAAGTCCTCTTGCTTTTTTGATCACTACAGGTAGTGATAATTCTATACCTGCATAGTAATGAAGCGTAACGCCTCTTACTTCTCTGAAACATAATTTGCATAAGCGTTAAATTACATTGTCTGACTAACTCGTTTACAGGGTCACTGGATGAGGGTTTCGGTTCAAAGCTTACTGTTTGTCTACCGTTCCCCTAGTTGCAGAAAAAATATCGTTTCTACACCACTTTGTTAAGACAGAAGGCAAAAAAACAAAAACAAAAAACAAAAAAAAACAAGAAAAGCTTATTATTGAAGGCGGCCGGGTTCCACATTCAAATTCCTCTCGAAAATGAAGTAAAACGGATTTTATTGTGTTCCCTGTGTTCTAGAGGTTTTATGCAACAGTAAACTCGATCGTCAGCCGCTGCTCGGGAAATAAGTTAACGCGTGATGCGAAAATTAACAAGAGGGTTTCAAATTTAATAAACCCCTCCTGGCCTGCTGGCATGGCGACTGATAATGCCGATTTCACATTTGCTCTCGAGGCTTTGTTCTCGGCCAAATATTCAATTCTAGGACAATATCTCAGCCGCAGATAGTGTCAGCGACTTACCAGCCGTTTGAACGGGTTTATTTACCAAATAGGTCAAATATGACTTACATTGTTCCTCTTTACCTTCAGACGCCAAAACAGACGGAAATGGCGATGAAAATCCCAAACCATCTAAGATGGACGTCGGCGAGGACCTGACCCCCAAAAGGAAGCGAAGACACCGGAGCCATTTCACTCAACATCAGCTCCAACATCTCGAAAAATTGTTTTCCCACCAAAAATATCTAACCCGAGACGAGCGCACGCTGTTGGCGAGAGGACTGGAAATGACAGAACTTCAAATTAGAAACTGGTTTCAGAACCGGAGATATATGGAAAGAAAAAGCGTTAAAGAATGCGCGAAACAAGTCAAAGCTAATGAACTTTAAAGACCGATGTGAGTTAGAGAACATTGACGATTTTCGTCGAGGAGCTGCAATTAAAATTAGACATTGCATGAAGAATTTATTTATATAATGGTATAGTTAGGTTATTCAAAGAAATGAAGCAAATGGAAAAGACTTGCTGTTTTATCTCTTTGGTTTATATCAGATCGTTTTCTGAATGATTACATGATTAGGAAACACGAGAAGTAGACAGTAGAAAAACAAAAACACCTCATGAAGCATGAGGACAGACACAAGTTCTCGAGTAGCATCCTTCCGTTCTCCCTCCCTCCCCCCTCCCCTCCCCCCTCCACCACCCTTCCTACAAAACAAAATGGCGCAAAACAAAAAAGAAAACCATAAGACAAGAAGACAAACCGAACTTTAAAAAATTTCATTGAGACTGAGTGCAACTCTGGCAAGGGAGTTTGTTACTCATATGAGCTAAACTGTAAATTTGCACCACAAGAAAAAACGGAGTAGTAATCGCCACCTTGTCTGAATATGTGTAAAGATAACTGTTTCCTTACTTGGAACTGGTTAGATCAAATGACCACCACAAACCGTATAATATTAAGCCAAGCTTTAATAATTATTCGATCTAAAAGAAATAAATTTATAATTCGCAATTAGAACAAACGCAAATCAAGTCTATGTCTTGTAACTAAATTAAAAAACTTAAATATAAACTTACTTCTGTGGCGGGTCTAAATGCTGAATGCTGAATGCTGACAGCTAAATGCTGAATGCTGAATGCTGAATGCTGAATGCTGAATGCTGAATGCTGAATGCTGAATGCTGAATGCTGAATGCTAAATGCCAAATGCTGAATGCTGAATGCTAAATGCTGAATGCTTAATGCTGAATGCTAAATGTTAAATGCTGAATGCCGAATACTAAATGCTAAATGCTAAATGCTGAATGCTGAATGCTGAATGCTGAATGCTAAATGTTAAATGCTGAATGCTTAACGCTGCTATTTATCACTTGAAAGGAACTAGTCACTTTTAATTACTCAGGGGGATGGGGAACGGGAGGATTCTTGGGGGATAAGTCTTCGCCAACGTAGTGCAAAGTGGTTGGGGGGTAGAATCGAAAATTGACTGACAATATTAACTGCCAATAAGTATATATATATATAGGATCATAAATGTTACAGACCCTTTTAGGGGATCAGTAAAGTTTATTGTGACACCACTAAAAGCGTATTTTGTCCTCATATTCCTTGAATTTTAGTATTTGAAGTTTATTCTTGGATAGATTTTAGGTAATTAGGCTTTTAAAACGCACGTGGATTGTTTTCTGGCGTTAAATTTGCTCGCGGCGTACACGATCGGCCGAGAGGAAATGAAAGCAACATGGAGACTTCACAATATCAACAAGCCTCATTATCCAGTTCAGCGAGATCTTCGAGTCGTTCTCCGAGACAGAAAATGATTAAGCACTGACTAGTCCTCCAGAGAAAAAGTCTTGTTATCACTGCTGTGTTCCAATGTGCAACTCAAAGAAAAAAAAACCCAGAAGTAAGAGCTACCTGGCTGGTGAAAATTGGAAGAGATGAGGGACCCGAATTTCAGGTTGAGGGAAATTTTATGATTTTAAAATCTTGACAAATAAGCCTGAAGATTAGGTGTTTAGTCTGTGGACTCCAAACATATATGGTCAGTATGTCATTACCATATTTTTGGCCTACATTGTAGATATATTACTCCCCATGCTTATTAGTAGTAAGAATATTTGCAGTACAATTTTGTTTATCCCAGGAAATAGCTCAAATGTTCTGATTATATCGTGTTGACCTGAAACAGAAACACTTAATGGTAAGCATGATTATTTGAAATGAACTCTGTTGTTTTTTATACTCAGCTTAGGTACCATTGTTTTCACATGCCGTTATACATTTTTTTTTTGTACGTGCATTTTAGGCAGGATCATTTCAGAACCACATATAAATCTATTGATTAAATAAATTTCTAAATGAAAATAATTCTGTCATCTGTTTTTTTTTTCTCATTTTATATTGTTTTTTTTTGTAATTATTCATTAGATAACAGGTAGTACAAGAATTTGTGGGAGGAATTTCCAGGAAGAAGATTACAAACCTCCTGACAATACAGGGAGATGCTTTCTCAAACATGGTGCCATCCCCACAGTGTTTTGCTGGTCAGGCGAGGTAAAACAGTGAAGAAAACTCATACGTCACATGGAGAATTAAGTTTTGTCAAAGTTACCTACCTACATAGAAATTAAGAATAAAATAAAACAAAACTGTCTCCTACTTCTAAATGATTCAGATAAACAGTTAGTGGTAAAAGGGAAGTAGTTTGTTTAAACATTGATGTTAAGTGAATTTTATCATACATTTTCAAATTTAGACGCCTATATACTTATTATACTTACTACTTATGATGTTGCAGTGTGGGGTGAACTTTTCAATGTCATTTTAACTTTTTTAGGGAGAAGCAAAGTGATGAAAGTGATTATGAAAGTGAAACTGATGTGGGAGTTGAGCCCAGGCGCCCTAGTGCTACCAACCAGATTCAATCATTGAAAGAACAACTTGCAGCTGTTCAAGCTGAGCTACACAATGCAAATGAAGAATTAAAGATATCCAAACAAGAAGCAAGTGCTACCATTCAGACAATCAATTACGTGAAGGCTCAAGCACAAAATGACATTGATAATTGCAGAAAGCTTGCTCAAGGGCAGTTAGCATTAATTACATTTGGACTAGAGTGATTTTTATCAGATGATGCCTCCATTAAGTTCCATACTATCCCAACATATAAACACTTATTAGTTTTTTATGAGTTTGAAACGCCAAATTCTGAAAAGATGGTCTATTGCTATGCATCAGGGGATAGACAGAGTCCACCTGGAGCTAGATCTATGCTGCTCATAGATGAAATATTTTTGTTTCTGGTCCGACTTAAATTGGGGTTGTTTGAACAAGATACTGCCCATCGTTTCCAGATTCACATGTCGTATATAAACAAGAAATTTACAACATGGGCAAACTACCTATACTTCAACTTAGGAAGTCCGTGTATCTGGCCATCAAAGAATGAAGTTCAGGATAATATGCCAGTGGGATTTCGTCTTCTCTATTCAACTACAAGAGTGATTCTAGACTGTAATGAAATTTTTGTGCAGACTCCGACATCACTGTTACTCCAGTCAAAGCTGTATTCTAGTTATAAGTGCAACATCACATCAGATTTACTGGAGCCTACTGACTCAGTAATGACAGACAATTATTTCAATATAGACGACTTGCTAAGAGAAAAGGGGGTGGGGCAAATGGCAATGTTCTTTTCAAATCGATTTACAGCATCATCTAAAGGTAAAATTGGGAATGCATTACAGGGGAAATCATTTATCACATATTCCACAGAAATTTTCTGTTGGTAGGAAAGTATAGAACCTAGGAAGGAAAGTATAGAGACATTTCCAAATTTGCAAGGGACAGCAGAAAGGTCACTGGCTTGATCTTTCTTTGGAACCAGAGATACTATCAGAGGGCTTGGTTCGATTCTATTAAAATGTTCTTTGGTGAGGACGTTGTACCAAGATGATGGAGGGTCCAGTGTACTTTTAACGAATTTGTTGTAATCTATCCCCATTTGCAGTTTCTTTACCTACACCTCCTGGAACTCATGCTGCTGTATAGTTTTTCCCCTTGGAATGCTCCAACGCTGTTGCATACTTGTGCACGTCAAATCATCGGGAAGGGATCGCAAGGCAAGCTACTAGCAGTGAGCCTAATAAAAAAAAAAAGCCAATCACATGGTGGCAATATCCACTTATTCCCACAACATATGAGCACTTTCCAGAGAGTGTCTTGTCAGCTAGGCAAACGGAAACCTCTAAGGAATGGCGTGACTCATTCTTCCTCATTGACCTGAAGCATTTGCAGGTAACTGTTGCGGATCCCAGGGGATAAGTTAATACAAAAGAGTTAAAAGGAGACTGATGACTTGACTACCACGGCTCATCATGACTTTTTTTCCAGATAACTAAAAAAAATTCTTTCATTTTGAATTTATTTAGCAAATATACAATATAGAAGTTAGTCGAAATAATATTAATGTATAAGAAGTAGAAAATAAGATAACCAAAAAAGGAAATCGAATTAAATCTACAGTTGTTATTTACAGTCCTTACCATAAATTTTATGCATATAAACCTGGTTCAGCGAAAAGCTTACGGTGTGCGTCTTTGCTGTATTCTGGAAGCCAGATGTTTCCTTCACGCAGCTCTCTACATCCGTAAAACTTAAATCCGGAAGGGGAGACAGATCTTCTGTTGGTGTCATAGTGCTACTGATTAGAAAGATTTCCAAATAAAATTTCTATTGTCTTGTACCTCTAGCCGGTAGGATCTTAGGAGGCTTAGCAAATACTACCGGCTAGAGGTACAGCTTGTATATTTAGTCAACTTTGCTTAATGGTTACTACGGTTTGCTTCACATTTTACTTTTTCTGCACTCCAAATTAGTCCAACACTCCTTTGAACCATTCTTTTCAAGAATATGTATACATTTATTTATTTTTATTTGGTCTTGTACCTCTAGCTGGTAGGATCTTAGGGGGCTTATAAAATACTACCAGCTAGAGGTACAGCTTGCATAGTAGACTTTGCTCAATTTTTATTATGGTTTGCTCCACATTTTACTTTTCTGCACTCTATGGCCAAGTTGTAGTCTTACACTTTTTTTAATCATTTTTTTAAAGAAGAATTTTATTTCTTTCCTTTTATTTGGTCTCGGGAGGCTTAGGAACGAATACCAGCTACCAGCCTACTTTAGTTTTGGAGAAGTGATTTTTTTCGTTCGACTGCTCAAATATGCAAATTTTCACCCTGAAATTACCCGAGTTGTGTGACCTCATGTAACGAATTTACTTGACCTCCGGTATTTCTGTCGACATAATCCTTTGTTTTATCATGTAAACTTAATACCCTGTCATTAGTGAAGCTGGCAAAGAAATATTTATTTTTTGGTGAATATTTTTGTCCGACATACTTCCTCTATGTCAAAAAGTAACATCAAAACAAAGACAGTTTTAACAATGACCGATATGACAGAATCTACTTTTAGCTTTTAAAAGACAAAAGGATGGTTATAGAGTTACT